CATAGGCACCAGCTGGGAAGGGCGCTTGAACCTCGGCCAAAACACAAATACGGGAATGTGTCTAAGTAGGGGGATCCACCTTTTCCAGTTTGTCCGGTTACTTCCCTTTACACCAACCTGACAAGGGGGGGTATCCTCCAAAAATATCACACCCATCCGGGCGTGGTTGTTTTTCTTGGATGCTCTGTTGGGCTGGTGCTAAAGGGAAGCCAAAGTAAAACATCAACACTGGGCGCTCTCCAACTAAGAGACGCCCATTCGCACCATACCTGACTATAGCAGCGGCTGAGATTGGCTGATGTTTCCGACGTGCTGACAAGCCACCAAAAGACCAGAGACACGGAGTAATGCTGCCAGGTGTGCAGGTGCAACGTGCTCAAGCCCTCCAACGCCTTTACGGACGTCAGCAACGGAATCGCAGCTGATGCGTTGCCTTAGTTGAAGCGAACCTCCCCTTGAACCCCCAAAAGGGGGAGGTAGAAAGCAGATTCCTCTACAAACAGGGGCTTTCTGGGTTCCTTGTTGACCTTTGATTCCTGGCTTGGCGCGTTGCACCACCTACGTCCGCGGTTACAAAGCCCTCCAGGGCTTGGACAATGCAAGCGTTGCCGAAGGTTACTGGTCAAATGTGCCTGCAACGTGGGTGAGCAAAATTTGCTGAAACCATCAATGGTTCCCTTGGCAGGGGCACTGAGAAGAGGTTTCTTGACGGTAATGTAAACGTAGTTGCTCAAACAAGGCAAAGCCCGGCCTGCACACTATCAGCAATCCATCCATGCCATCTGCGAGGTACCACTTGTCAAACCAACAACCATCCCAAAGACCACCAACACCCAAACACCTAGACACAAACAGAGACACAGACACAAACAGAACCGGAGACAGACACACAGAGACACACCAGGACCCAGAGACACACAGAGAGACACTTAGAGACACAGAGAGAAACAGAGAGAGAGAGAGAGGGGGACGGAGAGAGAGCGAGATAGAAAGAGAGAGAGAGAGAGAGAGAGCAAGACACAGAGAAACGAGACACACAGAGACTCACAGAGAGACACACAGAGAGATGCGCAGAGAGATACGCCACACAGCGAGGGTAACACACACACACACAAGCACACAGAGAGACAGAGACAAAAAGAGAGAGAGAGAGAGAACGACACACACACACACACACAGAGCGAGACACACACACACACACACATAGAGCGACACACACACACACACACACACACACACACACACACACACACACACACACACACACACACACACACACACACACACACACACACACACACACACACACACACACACACACACACACACACACACACACACACACACACACGCACACTCGCACACTCGCACACTCGCACACTCGCACACTCGCACACTCGACACACACACACACACACAGAGCGCGACCCAAGAGAGAGAGAGGGAGAGAGAGCCAAAGAGAGAGAGAGAGAGAGATCACAGAGATACGCACACAAATATACATACACAAACACACAGAGAGACACATAGAGACACAAACAGACACACACACACATGCACCAGCCTCAGTGCCGACCCTTTTCAATAACTGCTTTCAACCCATATTTTCACCAGGCGACTGAGCCAGTGCCCTTCGCGGCCGTAGGGAGTGACCCACCTGCCCACGGAAGTGCGGCGGTCGTGGCAGTTGGGCTTCGAGGAAATGCCCTCGATGCAGAGGTAGAGGTTCAGCTCGTGGTCCCAGGGCGGGCAGTTCCTTGGGGCTAAAAGTGGAGGGCCAGGGGGCAAGGGCCTCGGGGCTAAACCCCGTTTCTTCATGGCAATTTGGTGAGCACCAAATAGTACGTTCCCTCTTGGGTTTGCTTATTCAAGCATTTCAACACAGCCCTTACACTCTCCCTTTGAAACGTCTTTTGGGGGCCCTTTTTGGGTTCCAGGGAAATGCTTCCATGGATTTGGGCAGAATCCTTTGATGCGATAACAAGCCATGTTCCGACTGGGGAGGGTCGCCTTGGCACATCCACATCTGTCCGAGGCTTCGAAGTTCCACACTTAAGGCCGGGTGGATGGGTTAGAACAGAGCCACTGGATTTCCCCAGAATGCGCAAGTAACCGAGCCACAAACATGGGAGACACATGGTTTCCCTTGCGACATGTAGCGTTCCCGAAGTCAGAACTCATGAAACTTGCGTGGAGAGACGGGAGGTTGCATCATCCCAATCAAATCCAAGCAATCTGATAAACCACTACAAAACACGAAGGAGGAAGAAGCATGAGGAGCAGAAGAAGCAGCAAACCCAAACACGCACAAACAAGCAAAGGGACAAACGCCAAGGCTCGCATCCAAGTGATCTTTGCACTCCAGCGCCAGTTCCACCTGGCTTTGCCAAAGTTTAGCTATATGGCGGGGTTCCTTTTACAGCAACCCAAAAAAAGAATACCATCCAAAGAAAAAGCAAGAAAACAAAAGGAAGAGGCAAAGTACGATCATGGGCCCCCATGCCCGCCTCCAGCTCGCTGTAGCCCTTGGCCCTGACCAGCTGCGCCTGCTCTGCACCCCAGGAAGCCGTGAGACCCCCTGGTAGCCACTGCTCCTGACACTCAACGAATCAAAGGCCCCCATGTTAACAGATTCTTCAAGTGAAGGTTGCAACTTGCCCGGATATTTAGTCTACCCTGAAAAAAGGAGGGAGCTGTAAGGGTATGGGCAAAAAAAAGGGGACCCAAAACATGGCGGTTGTCCTTGTGGTTTCCCTTAAGCCAACCTGAAAAGGGTACCCTCAAAAAAACAACACGAGCGTGCATGGAGACCCCAGCCAGGCCCACACTCCTGGAACACTTCGACTCTTAGAACATCCTCCGCAGCATGCCTCGGATGCGAGCGAATCGAGCAAACTCCCAGCGAAGACAAGACCCAGGGAGACGGCTCCACTCCACTTTGTTACTAGGGGATGTTGTCCCATTTGGAGGGAATCCTTGACTTGTTGTTTTGCCGCCAAGTGTGACAATGCAAACACTATACAAAAACGATCCTGGTCCAATATGGGCCTTTCTCAACATCCCACCAACTCCTTTGCAGAGTCTTGGCCAAATGCACACTCCATGCAGAAAGTTGGATGTCTGCTTCTCGCGTTATCATGTCCGCAATGTTATCAGATTAGATCGAGCGATGGTCGACATAACTGTCTGCTGGTGAGAAGGAAAAGGGAAACCCCAATGGACAAAGGGTTCAAACAAGGTAGCGCTAGTGACTTGTCGCCTGTTCTGTGTTCCCCTTGCCATGCCCTTGCAGAACTCCTTAGCGCCCTTTTCAAAGGCAAATTCGGACACCAGCTTGGCTCCCTTCCAGCAGCTCATAGCCTGGCGTCATCTCCTGCTTCTGCTGCAGCACTTTGCGCCGGTACTCCATGCCTGCGAAAGATCGGGGGCTGGCAAACAAGAACTGGCCCATCCTCTTCTGCTCCTCCTTTGGGTGAACTGACAAATTTGACTACTGTAACCTTTTTGGGTGTGCCTTGGCAAGGAATGCCAAGGGGACGTCCCAGTTTTGGGGTCCTTGAAGGCTGTTGAAAGACTTGAAAGACCCATGTGCCTTTGATCTCCTCTGCAGCTCCGGAGGCCGCCGCCCACAGGCCGCCGCCGGGCACAACCCCCACCTCAGCTGGCTGGGTGCTCGTCTCACATTGGACGTGTTTTTTGGAGGGTTCCCTTTTGGGCTGGTTGAAAGGGAAGGCCAAAGGAAACCTTTGTGGGGCAATGAACGTTCTTGTCAAATACCTACCCGATGTGGGCAATGGAACCAGCATCTGTAACCAGCATCAGTCATGGTTGATCCTGTTCCGGGAATCCAACAGGTTGATTTGTCGGGAAATTCCAGGAAGCTACCATCAACAGCCAGGCCCCGGGAAAGGTTCGGAAGCAACCGCCCAATGCGTTGCTCGCTTGATCCAAGCCACGAAGCTGGGGCCCACCAGCTCAGAGCCCAGTCGCACCGTGACGGCTTTGGAGCTGTTGGCTGCCTCCGAATGGCTCTGATGGAGGGGAGGTATAAGAATGTATACGAAAACAAGTCCCTGGTGTTCAAAAAAGCCTCAAGTTAATCTACCAAGTTGAAAAAACCTTGGGGCGGTTCCCCCCGGGCCTCTTCCAAGGCCTCGCCCACCGAGCGTGTGGTCATCACCACTGCCAGGTCCAAACTCTCGCCGCAGGGGTCCGGCGCAGCACAGCCCATTTCGATGGCCTGCGATTCCCCCATGCGAGACCCCTTTGCCTTTGTGCGGTCTGGTTGGACGGGGTGGGGTTTGGAACACGGAGAGGCTCGACCACAGACGGCGAAAGAATAAGCCCCGGTGGCATTTTTGAGCGGACATGGACACCTCGAAAACTTCGTCCGGAACCCTATCGAGCAGCTGCTCCATGAAACCCCGGAACCTTCTGCATCCGGAACCTTCCACCCTTCCCCAGCAAGAGCTGCTCCGGACCACTCCGGAGCTTAATCGCATCAGGGTTATCTACCCCATTTTCTTTTGTCGTCGATGCTTTCCCAAATCAACCAATCAACCACACCATAAACCCAAGGCTCACAGTCAAGCTGGCGAGGCGGTGAGAAACCACCTTCAAAAGTGGTTGCTGGACGCAAATTCCCACCCAAAAAACGTCCACCAAACTGAAATGGGGCTGTGCTTTTGCGGGTGCCCTTTCTTAGCTTGGTTGAAGGGAACCCCAAAACCACTACTTTTGCCCCAAGCATTGTTCTCCTTTGAAGAGATGGAGCCCAATAACCCAAACCATTGAGAGAATTGAGAGCGCAATGGGAGAGGCAGCCACTTTCACATCACTATGTGCAGCGCATTCTTGCAGATCATTCTCAATTTCCCTGGAGGTACTCATTTAGGTTCCTTGAGTCAACCTACAGTAGTTTAGAACCAGTGGAAGCCCCTTGTAAGAGCCCAGCAATAAGAGCCTAAGAGCCGCGCAAGAACCACATACCTCATTCTCCCCGCAAAAGTGGGGGCAATGGAAGCCCTCTCAAACAAACAAATCAACTTCCATCACCTGCCCAGCAGAACCAGCTGCCTGCTCATCTTGGCTATAGATGGCCACCGCCTGCGCGCCGAGTTCCTTTGCCCGCCGCGCCTGCCATATCGCGGGCCACGGAGATTTCTGAAAGTAGACCCCCTGCAAATGATTGGTTTCGGCTCAAGAAAAAATGGATCACTGTCATGGACATCAAGTGTTTGTCCACTCTGCTCACGGAAAATCACAGCAACTGGCTGAGTCCATTAAAGCAACATCCTCAAAATGAAATGGTACCCGGAAGGAGACAACACGCCACAAGTGGACCCTTCTAGACCTGCCGCCAAGGCTCTTAATCCGATCTTAGCACACCTTCAAAGTCATCTCAAGAAACCCTGATATTGCGGACTTGGGCTAACAAAGTTGAGGGTTCGGAATTGAACGGGCCCCCCCATCCAATGCAAACACCTTCAGACCTGTCACCAAGGCGTGCAGGTTCTTCAGGAGCTCCTTCGGGGTTCCTTAGGATTCCTCAGGGCTAGCACCATAAATGCATCCACATGCAGCCACTTCAAGGGACGTAAGGCCCAGGGGGGGGGCTTGGGACTCCACAGGACTCCCGCCTTGTGATAAAAGGAGCACTCGCCCCGCGGGACCAAAGCCATGGTCCCCGCCAGGTCCGGCGCCGAGTCGTCACACAGCGAGCTGCCCGCCGCCCGCAACGGGAACTCCAGGCCCTCGACTGAGGCCTCGCTCTGGGCATTCAACATGAAGGTAGTGGTTGATGTCCCAACCTGAAAAAGGCACCTAAAACAAAATGCTCCAATTGACATGGAAACCAAGAATACCTTGGCCCGCTTCTTGGGCTCCATGTTTATTTGCAGGCGCTCAGCTGCCTATACACCCGAAAGCTTGAACAAGGGAACCCGGTTTTCCTTTCTTTCTTTCTTTCTTTTTTCTCTTTTTTTGAGGGGGGGGGGGGGTGAACTTGGGTAAAACAACCTAGGTCCTGGCCCCTTGTAAAGTGAGGCGAAAAGGAAGCTATTTCAACAAGGAGTGTTTAAACATCTGTAATCAAAGGGGTCGACCACACCCAAGCATTTTCCCCAAAGCAAATGCGCGAAAGAATGCAAACTCGCCATCAAAAGGGAAAAAGCTGGATCTGCCTCGCCCAAAAAGCAATCAGTGGAGGGTTGGACCCGTTTTGGGGGTTGGTGTCGGCTTGGGTTTCCCACCACTGGCAGGGGGCCTTTAGATGCCCAGAATGGAGCGAGCCTCACCCCAGTCGCCGCGGGTGCCTTTCAGGGCTGTCGCCAGGCTGTCCTCGCATTGGAAAGCGTTTGGCCGGCCGACCCCAGAAGGGTGCCGAGCCTCACTAAGGACACACGCTGGAGGAAACCAAAGCAATGGTAAAGAGGAGTAAACTGGGTAAACCCCTGCGGCAGCTTGGCAAAACAAAGTGCCGCGAACTTCTGCGGACCCACCAGGAGTTAGTGCAAAGCTAACTTCTGTCGAGGATATTTTTACACGAAACTTAAAGAGGTTCTGCGAAGGGAGGCGAGGGTTCCAAGAAGTTCTGCAGACTGACGGCTTTTACTCCTTAGCGTTACCCACCCGCATTTCCCCGCTGTAGCAAACCTCGAGGAAAGGCTGGAAAGGAGGCGTCCTAGAAGGCAGGCCAGGCTTGACTTAGGGAATACCGGGCCGCCAGCGCACAGGAAGGCTGTCAAGACAACTGCTGAGGACCCCTTCTCTTCTGAGGAAATCTAACAGCCCCCAACGGAAAAAGACACATGTTCACACCCATTCTCCAACTTTTGACTAAGCAGCAGGAGCCGACTAATCAGAGAATCTAAAAGGGGAAGCACCCCTGATTAGCATGGTCCTCCGGATCAATAATTTCAGTGACTTCAAACGGCAAACGGACCAGGTACAGGGGAACCGTCACTTTTTTTTTCTTTTTTGCTTTTTTTGTGGGGACACCCGCCAACAATCCACCAGCAGTTCCCTTGGGATGTGTTTGGCAACCAGAATGGATCATTTCCTCGCGTGTTCTTTCCTCATAAAAATGGCTCATTTTCGGCACGGTAGACCTTAACAGGGAAAGCTGTGAAGACAACTAGTGCCAACTTAGGATCAATAAACTCTTGTTGACCCGGGGAGCGTGCGTCTCACTTTAGAGGAGCGTCTCACTTTAGAGGGACACCCTTCATCTTGTTGGGGGCACAAGGCCAAAGACCAGCTGTCTCCTCTCCCCAGGACGCCCAGAGCCGCGGCTGCGGCGCGCTCCAGGCATGCGTCACGGAGGTCAGCCAGCAGCTTTCGTGCGACAAAAGCCAGGCCTCGGATCAATTTGATTAACTTCAAGGTAAACCGTCTCAGGACGGACCCCTATTTAATTTGCACTGAGTTTAAGGGCGGAACCCCCAACAAAACTGGGGCCTCACTGGCAGCCCCGCGAAAGAGAAGGGTTCTCCTCTTCAACGGGACGCCCTCCATCAAATCGGCCAGAAGTTTCCAAGGGTGCATTCTTGTGGGTTCCCACTAGCGGAAAGAAATTCAAGTCAAAATCACAGTTGGGGTCCGCCCCTTTAAACATGCCAGCACCTCTGTTGCCTCCTTGTTGGAGCTCCTTCTGTTTTCCGTAAGGCACTAAGGTCTGAGGGTCCGGTTGTTCCAACGCATTTCTCGGATTGCGTAGCCCTCAGCTCACGCGTCCCAGAGCCCCAGGTGCTGGCGTCAGCGCCAGGAAGAAGCTCTGCTCCGCGCGCGGGGCAGACACGTTGGCCGCCAGCCTCCGCAGCTGCTCCTGTCGCTTGCATGGCCGGGTGGGGGTTGAATTTAAGAATTACCCATCCCCTTTTTGCTTTAGCTTTGGCTTCAATTAAGCACATTTCGATCAGAGGGTTTCAACAAGTCTCAAGCTGTCCCTCAGCAAGCTCTTGTCCGATATGTTAAATTATATTTTAAATGGCAGAATCGGTCAAATACCAAACATCTTGGATCCCAGTGATAGGCATCATTCACACTGCATCGGTGTCCTTTAGGAAAGACATGAGAAATGAGTTCCACTACAATGAATAGACACGTGTAATCCGTCCAGCCGGTTTTCAATAGGGAATCCGGTTTTGGGAACGAGCCTAGGGGTGCCTGAAGGACACTTCAGGAGCAACGTTTATAGGGGAAATCGAGACATCGAACAAAGGACAATTGTGTTCGCGCGGCGTCCTGAGTCTGAACCATGACTTCACGGACTTCCTCGCTGGTCAGCTTGTAACCTTAGGACATGCATGTGGCACGCGAGCCAATGGACATGGGATAATTTAGGGAGTTCCTGCGTTTGGTGGGACATTCGGCATAGGCTTTGTCCTAATATGTGACTCGCACTGTCAGTCGCAGCCACTGACCAGCAAGGGGAGTTCACCCGGACTAAACTACGATGTGCCAGAAGCTGGTCACAACGATGACAACACCACAGGCATGACAAGAACAACAAGAACCACAAGAACAATGAAAAGAACAGCGGCAAGAACAAGAAGGACTCAAGAAACAGGAATGAGAGCATGAGCGAGAACAAGAAAAACGGTAAACACAAGAAGAACCAAAAGAAGAACAAGAAGAACAATGACAACAACCAGGAAAGAAGGAATCAGGAACCAAGAAACCAAGGAACCAAGGAGCCAATAAGAAGCAAAAAAAAACAGCAGCGGCAGCAGAACATAGTTTTGCCACACAACATCAACAATAGCAACACACTTCCCTTTCTGTTGGTAGGTAAGGAGGATGGACTCGTGCCATCTACTTTCACCCAACTGCCTCATTCCCTCGGCGAAAAGCTCAGCAGCACCACTTCGATGTCCAAGTCCTGGCTGAGCTCTACCACCGGCTGCAACTCCTCGTCTGCCCACCCCTCGCCCGACAGCAGGAAGACGGTGTTCCCTGATGCGAACGCGGAGCAGAACTGACCCCGCTGGTTTAAGCAGTTTTGGGTTAAGGTTTAGGGCGCAAACGTCCGAGTTTTTTCCTTTTGGGTTAAGGTTTAGGGCGCAGACGTCCGAGTTTTTTCCTCGAGGGTGCCCCATCTTGAGGGATCTACCACCCCGCCCCCCCGTTTCCAAAAAAAAGAAAGACAATCCAACTCTAGATCCCTCTAGGATCTGATGAAGACTCCTGGGTTGAGCAAGCCCGGTTTAGCTTTCTTTGGCCGGGTGTCCTGTCTTAGAGTGGTCTAATGAAGATTCCCCCCTTTGATTGTGTTTAACTGTTTGGGGCGCACGAGCCATTTTACGAGCAGTTGATGAACCGGGTCGACATTGACACTTTGGCCAATCTGCAACTCGCCGAGTCATGGCCCTTTCATTTCTAGTCGTAATTCGAAGGAGGAACCAAAAACACGGCATCCGTGTCTGCTTGGGCCCTTATGAACTAACACCACATTGAGGTTGCACGTTTCCCAGCATACAACAGACGCAGCACATGCACGCACCAAAAACGTGTTGCTGGGAAGGTAAACTAATGATGGTTGATGATGGTCGAGTATCACCTTGTGAGAGATGCCGTCAAGGCCCCGAGCCGCCTCTGCAGAAATGCCATCCAAGCTTGCCAAACGCTTGCCAAACGCTTGCCAAACGCTTGCCAAACGCTTGCCAAAGGTGATTCACGCGTCACGTGTGGTCAATGCATCCTGGCAAGGGCCAATTGAGTCTGCAACAAAATATGCGCAACCAAAAAGAGTTGGTTTAACCAAGCTGTACAAGAGCGCACCCCTGCACTTTTTGTGGAACCACAAAAAAAAAGGTCCTCTGAATAGAGATGGCTCTCCCACATATGATTGCAGGGGATTGCGCTACAAGCGCTCCCTTCACAGGGAGGAATTGAATGTTTCAACACCTTGGCCCAGCCCTGCTCTGCCCGCCTGCGGCGTGTGGCTGCCATTCGAAGCTTCCGCCCAATGCCTCCAGCGAGCACGACGTCGTTGGCTGATCCTAGCGCTCGAAAAACGAGCTGCCTCCCGCACCTCAACCCCCAGTCTCGGACTTTGACTTGGTCCACTCTCACAAAGTCCGCGACACCCCACAAAGATATATGGTGATGCCCCGGAATTTCAAAGAGTTTCTAATTAGCTTTCTTTACCCCATCCCGAAACAGCTCGGAACTTTTGTTGCTCTGTCTCACGCTTCAGTTTATCATTGGATCAGATTGCTTCATCCAGGCGTGATCATGCAATTCTTGCTAGAACTTTCAACGAGCTTGACGAGGCTTCTTCGCCTGTGTCGGCTGCCCTTTCAGCTGCTTCATAATTTCTACTCGCATGGACCTCACGATTCATTCCGCGAATGTGCGTTCCTCTGACCGCCCTCGCCGAGCGGCCTGCGGCAGCTGCAATGGCAGCTGGCGCTTCTCAGCAGAGGCGCAGGCCCCGCGGTGCGCGCATTGGCCATCTAAGCAGCACCAGCCCTCCGGGTGGCACCCCTCAAAGCGCTTCCTGAAGCCAAGGCATGACATCGGTCGGGACATGAAACGGAAAAACAAGGATTGCACATGTCACATGTCCTGTTGGTTTCCTTTTGGGAATGTGAACAAGTTATGGCTATTGAGCGCCCGGAGGGGGCAAAAGGAAAACTCTCACAACAGCTGCCAGCTCCTGAGGGAACTTCTAGGAACATGTTGAATGATTTACGAGGAAAATCAAAGGAAACCAGCCATCAGGATGGGGAAACACCCATTTCGAGACACTCGAGTGACCCTTTCAACACTGAGACGTCGAGAACCAATCGCAAAACACGAAACTAGCTGACCTGGGTCTTCACATTGTGGGCATTGCGGCCAAAAATCGCAAATGTCTGAAGTGACGCAGGCATAAACAAAATTTAATTGTGGCATCAATAGAATAATATATTATATGTCACAGACTGCGGTTCGGCATGGGGAGCTTGTCGCGAGGTTGCGTTTCGTGCGTGGGCATGCAACTCGATGGTCCTCGCAATTTCAGTTGACGCGCCTTTAATCCTTCAGCCAGGCCTCCCCTGGTGCCAAAACGGCAGCTGGCACGGCACGCCCTCCGAGGACAGCAACCAACTCTTCGGCTTCCGAACCTCATCATCGGTGTCGGTGTCGGCGCTTCGCGCACGCAGGGCTGCCGGCTCCGGCCGCACTTGGCCCAGGGGTCTGCTCGAGAGCAGCGCCTCCTTCACATCGATCTACGAAAAACGAGCGAAATTGAGGTCTATGTCAGAACAGGGACCTCAGACTGGCCGGCCGGGTCTCTTGGTTGCCTAAAAAGGGTATCTCCAAGAAAGGCACACCGCATCTCCAGCACTTTGTGGAGTGGGCATTGAAACGTCTGCCCCAAAACCCATCTGACTGCGAAGGTTTTAGGGCATCATGTAGCCCTCACTTCAAACCCTGCGAAGAATTGCTACTGGGCCCAAGCACGACCCGCAAGAACATTATGGACATTATGGTGGTTCTGAGAACCCCTGAAACATGTTTGCCTTAATGGACCCAGTACCACAAGGCTATTGGGCGTCCACTTCTTGGGCGGCTATCTTGGTCCACTTCTTGCTCCCTCATCCTGCCTTTGCCTGCCACCTCGGGTGGTCTGTGATGCCACCCGCTTGAGCGCCCAGCGCCAGGTACAGGAACAAGGGGTTCAGAGCAGGCATGGCTCAAGCAACTACGGGGTGAATGAAGCTTTGTCACCGCCACTCTATGTTGGCCAACTTTGGCACATCAAATTAAATCCAACTCAACCTTGCAGTTGTTCTTCGTTCGCTCAACGATACCATGTTTAACATTGGCAAGCCCGCTTTGGAGCGATGGATTTGTGCTCCATTGCCACCGACCCTCGTCCAGCGGGCCCACGCCGGCAATTGCATGCCTTGCAAATCCGCAGCTGCTCCAAGTCGTGCCATGACATATTTGTTGGCTTGAGATCTCTGTCTAGCCTTTTGCCCTCGGCTTGATAGCCTTGCTGAGATTTGATGCAAAGCGTGGGTTCCTGTTCAACAGCCATTAGGAAATACGCAGGCCGCCTCGCACTGTTTCCTCGCGCCATAGGCAGGCTCTGAGTATTGTGTGCCTCGAACGGTTCGGTCTGAGCTCTTGGTCGAGCCCTGACCGCGATCAAATTCAGTGAAGATGCAATCTTTGACAGAGACGCTGCAGCGACTGTGCAACAATTCCGCCTTTGATCTTCTTTCTTCACCTGGTTGCTCAGGCTGGCAAGTGTACACAGCCTCTAAGAGGATTGCTCTCTGCGAGGGGTTTCCTCCTAAGCCAACCCGAGGAGAATAGATCCAAGTCTCCTATTTATTTATTTTTTCTGGGGGTGAGATTTTGCGAGCGTGCTCGCGTCGCTTCGAGGGGCATGGTTCAATGGGAACCCGGCAGGGAAGCCACAATATTTGGGATCCCCTATTCGGCGCCTGAAATCTTTGCACTGCCCTGCGCGACTTCTCCGAACGTCCGAACTACGCGCTGGTTCTGCCAGGTGCCTGCTTTTGGCAACTGCCACGTGATGCGCTTCTGATGCTTCACCCAGTTGCCCAGTTGCCCTTCAGAAAGAAGGGGAACCCTCTGTCTGGGGCAAACTATCTTTAGCAGTGGGAAACCTCTGGCGCTATCCAAACAAATACGGATGCCAATGGAATTCCACAGGTTTAAAGGTGATCAACACCTGGCACAAGGGCGGAAACCTGGTAATTCCTGATCAAAGCTTGGTTCACCCAAACGGGCAACAAGCCAAATCCATCTGTAGTTGAAGACAAACGCTTCATACGTTCCAATAAAATTACCCTGGGCTCCCCATGCCTCCCCACCCAACCAAAAAAGAAACAAATGCAACCCATGCGCAAAGTTGCCCCACCCACACACACACACACCCTCATAAAAGAACACAAACAAACACGGGCCCCCACCCCATTTTTGTAGCAGCCACTGGCAATGGCAGCGCAGCCCCCGACTCGATCATACCCATCTCACCATCCCTACTGCATCCCATCCATCGGTTGGAAAGCTGACACACGACCACTGGGTAGGTCCTTGTGTTGAGTCCGGGTACCCGAACGGAGCTTGAAGGACAACCAAAGACTGACAACTTGAGCACTTCCATTTTTTTGGGTTCATTGATGCCAGTTGTAGCAACAATCCATGTTGCTTTCCAACCAGGCAAATTCCGTGAGTAGAGGCATGGTGCATACGGCCGTTTTTCCCAGAGCAAAGCTCACTCCGGGATAGGCGGAGCCACTTCAACCACCACCTGAACCTGGCAGGCCACATCTTGGCCCCAACCTGGGATACAACAAACAAAAGATGTCCGATTCTGCGTCATACTTAGTCCAAGTCTACCCACAAATCAAGAACAATCCCTCCCCCCTGCTAAAGGTCCCAAAAACAAAAACACGTTTTCCAAAACTACTTAGGTAGAATGGCCCAATGTCCCAATGTGAAACACATATTGAACCCACGATTTCTCCCACCAACCTCTCTTCCAGTGCGACCCCCGCCCCAAACCTGGAAGGGACCCCGCAAGCGGACCCTGAGAATAAAAAGGATGCTTCTCCGCTTGCGTTTCAATTGCGTTCCAGAATTTGGGGGAAGGGGTTTAGTTTGGCGGAGACCGCATGGCACGGCGCAGGCTCAAATGAAATGCCTGCAACCTCATCATCGCAGGAAGGCTCATGAAAGAACAGAATGCTGTTGCAAAGGGAAAAGGGAAACCAACACTTTTTGGAGCAAACTCCTTTTGAGACCACCCCACTTATCGGCTTTTGCACGTTTTTGTTGACAGGTGTTGACCGTGTTTTTTTCCGGCCTCCTTGGTTGGGCTGGCCATGATCGAGGGGAAGTCGTTGAAGGACAGAGGATCGAACATGAGCTTCCCGTCCTCGGCACCCCACTGTTACACTGTTACGGCGTTACGCCGTTAAACCACATCCAACCGCAAACAACAGCAAGCGTAAAGAAAGAGAGAAGAAAACAAAACAATTCGAGGGCGTCCTTCGTGTTCCCCGGCGACGTAAAGGAAATGGAAAGGACAGCTTTGCTGGGTTTTGGTGTTGCAACCGGAAGTCAAACGCCAGTCTTTCAACTGCAAAGGCGAAATGCCTGACTTTTGAAAGGAGATCTCCCGGGGTCGGGGCCGTCCCGGATCGCATGCCGTGCCAATGCTGACACGCGGAGCCGGGGGGGGGAAGGTCAAGGCAGTTAAGCAGGACCATGCAGCTACTGCGTCCATTAAAGGAGCATCCTCAAGTGTTAGCAGCTAAACTGTGGTTTAAACAAAAACCATCCCCTCACAGTAACTTCGAGAACCCCTCAGCATGTTCACTTTGAGGGATCCAATGTTACCTCTTGCTTTCAAATGGAACATGTGCCGTAGTTGATGCTCTCAGGCAAGCTCCAGGCCCAAATTCCAGGACGGCAGTAGCTCCTCTTCTGAAACTCCCCCTCTTTTCACCCTTTGGCCGAGGCGCCAGGTAGAATTGAAGACGGCCATATTCCTTAGCATCTGGTAGGCTTGCGGATTGGACAGCGTTTGTACGTCTTGCTTCTGTCTTCGAACACACGGCTGCCCACACGGGGATGGTACGCCTCACGCTGGCATCTACAGGCCTGTGGCTTGGTTTGCTGTTGCCATGTTTCGAACAAGTTTGGTGCAGGGAGTTTGTCCGTCCACAATACTGCGCAGCATCACCAAAGATTTGCCACCTCGGGAAAGGACAATGCTCGCTGAGACATGTACTTTGCAGGAAGGCGCTGGTTGCCACCCAGGAGCAATCTCAGTTTGCCGTGCGACCTGGCCTTTGGCATACGCGACGTCGTGGCCAACATTGCACACCTGGGCATCCACAAGCAGTGACAGTAGATAGGCGCTCAGCGTCCAGGACCGTGTTTACATTTTGACATGAAGCTTGGCTACTATTCTGCAGGGCGCGCCTTTGGTTGGTATGGCGAATAGGCCGTGTCAAGGAACAAACCATCGACTTGAATAAACCCTGACGCTGCAAGAAACTGAGCCTGTTCAACAGGCGACCGTGTGATCTCATTGTCTCAGACCCTTTCAGAACTACAAGAAGGCAGTGCCGAACGCTCCAGCCCCGTGCGTGCAATGCCCTGATCCCTGCGGGCAAGCATCGACTTCTACTCGCGAGCCAGTGGAGAGGTCCTGGGCGACACGAGCGCAAGCTGAGCCAAACTGGCCACTAACCTCCCGGCAGACATCGCAGAGTTCACAAGCAACAACATCTGCCAGAAGTGTACCCTTCACCAGCTCAAGCCCGCAGTTGTCAAGCCATGCGGGGGAGGCAACGTTGCGAGGCACACGGCGCTTTGTGCATTACACGTAGTGGATTGGTACATGTTGGGGCCCCTAGCATTGTAGGCAAAAGCAAGCGAGCGGGATAACCAACGAACGCTCATTTTTGGAGGAAGCTTCTTCTATCTTCTTCTCGGGCACGCCCTGGTTGCGTTCCGGATTGATTTGCAGAGCAAGGTCCCTGCAAGACCCCCCAGCCAGCTTCTAAGTTCATTGGAGGGAGTTTGGCTGGATGAGGGCAGAACCACCCATTGGGTCCAACGTTGCAGAGCCATGCTGAAAACAAAATGGCATTCGTGCACATTCTCCCTGGCCGCTGCGCGTGTTTGACGACCAGTCGGGCGTAGCTCAACTTAGTGGACCCTTGTAGGTGGCCCATGGGATTTCAGGGACACTTCGTCATGCTATCCGAATCCAAGGGATACTTCCGCAACAGGTGCGTCTCATCTGGGCAGATTTTTTTCTTGGTGGGCATCAACACATTGTTGGATTCATGCAGCCACTAACCAGTTTTCCGGGTGCTTCAACCGTTCAAATCACGGGCAAATGGATGCAAATGGTACAACCCAGAACCAAAAAAAACGTGTGTGTTTTTTTTCTTTGGTGTCCCGCGTCCTGGGCCTAAAACCTCTTCACAATGCCCCTTCAAATAGAAACTAAAATGCCCCCAAATTCCCAGGCTACCAATCAGAATTTCAGAAGGGGGCAAAGCGGGTCCCTTCGAGGATGCACTTAGAAATCCACCCATGTGTAGAAAAATCCTTTGGAACGGCTGATGAAGGGGTTGCTTTATGGTGTGCCTAATTTGGCCACAAAGTATCCTTAAAGCGACCCTACAGAAGGCCAGAAGCTGTACACCGAGTGGCGCAAATCAGCTTGAGCTGCTCTCCCCGTAGCTCTGCCTCGACTCGGTCGAAGGAGGTCCTCAGACAAATTTCGGGCATCCGCAAGGAGGGCTGGGGTGGAGTCGGGGGTTGCTCAATGTTGAAGGGAAACTAAAGGGAATTTGGAAGTTCCACCCTAGTTTGAGACAAACCCATTTGGGCAAAACCACCCCCCGGTCGTCGTCTCAAGGGAAACCAAACGGAGGGACCCCATGCCCTCGAAGAGGGGAGGAGCTGGGCAAAATGTGTAAAATGTGTATATATATATATATGTATATAGTGTATCTTTCATAGAGGGCTATACTCCCCCCCCCAACACTCCCCCCCCAAAATGGCCCAAAATAGACCATGAATAAGCCTTATTTAAGGGTTATTTTGGAAGGTTGACCATTGGCCTCTAAATAAGGCTTATTCAGGGCTTATTTGGGGTGTGTAAAAATAGGCCTTATTTAAGGGTTATTTGCCTCCATGAAGCTTTGCCAAAGGTTCTTGCAGCATGTGGCTCGGGAGTGCTCAACTAAGCCTTATTTATTTTGCTTTAAAGAATCAGTCGGGTTCTTCCAGTTGTTTGGTAGGGTTTAGCCACGATTCAAGGACTCTGAACGAAGGAATTTGCCGCTTGCCAGCCAGGTCATGTCCATCCTTCAAACATGTCTGACATTGTCAGCGTGGCTCAGGTCAGCCAGTGTCGGGTTCCAAATCGGACTACTCAGCTAGCATCAATTTGAAGAAAACCTTTGAACTTTAGGAAAAAGGTTCAATGATGGTTTTCACCTGTCCCATTCCTGTAAGGTGTTACTTTTTTTGGCAGATGCAATAGCTCTTAGACCATTCTGTTTTTTAGTAGCCTTTTGGCATTTTCTCCCGCCATGGATGCCGGAGGGTATTCCACAAGATTCCTCCGGTTGAGGAAAGCGCACATCGCGATTTTCGAACAGCCCAACTGCCAGAAGTACTGGCAGGCGGCAAGAGTGGCGCTGTGGACTCAGCAGACTTCTTCTGAGAAGACGGCCTTTCTTTTCATCCTGGTACTTTGTGCCACGCGGGAACACTAGCCCCCAGTAACAAATGCTTATTCATTGCTTATTTTGTTTTGGGAGTCCAGGTGCCATGGAAACTTGTCCGAAGCAGGACAAAACCCTTATTCATTGCTTATTTTTGCTTGGCCATGAATTCTTGTCCGAAACTCATTTCCCTTAGCCATTTTGGGGGGGGGGAGTGTTGGGGGGGGGGAGTATAACCCTCTATGATTCTTGGCAACAACGGTGCTTCCACATGCTCAAAATTGTTGGCCGAACCCTTGAAGCCAGGCATTGGGCGATGTTTCGCCCAAAACCCAAGAAACCCACTATTAATGTGTGGGAAAGAGGGTTGCCACTACCCCAAAAAAAAGACCAAGACTTCTCCCATCTTACCCCTGAACTTCAGGCCTACGGCACTCACGGCCAGCGCGATCCAGTCTCTTGGCACCCCAGCACTCCGGACTCATCATACTGCGATGGAAACGCGCCTGTCCGGCACATGCCGGTTGCTGGCGTGCCGGTTGCTTGCGTGAAACTTGCCGCCCTGTAAACAAGTCGGTCCAACCAACTCCTTCGGGCCACTATCAAAATGCGTCGCTTGCCCCCCCCCCCCGAGCAAAGGGTCTAAACTGCAACAGTCTAAAGGGCAAAGGCTACACCAAAAACCATGCACAATGGATTCCTGGCTCCGTGGAAGTCATGTCCTCTCTAAATTCTAAATGGTGGAGAAGGAAATTGAGTGGGTCCCCCAACGCCCCCCCGAAATGCGCCGTCGACTCAACCTTCTGACCGAAGCTGCAGAGTGAGGTCGCACCTTGGCCCTCAGCCATCTGCAGTGCTAGGGCGAGGGGCTAGCGAGAAGTCAGCTTGAGCCCCGATATAGATCCAGCGCCGGCTGGCCACCACCAGGGTGGAAAATTGGGCGCCAGGGCGAAGCCAAAAGCAAACCAACGAACATCAAGCCCAAATGGCCTTGGCAAGGAAACCAACCAACTCAAACCATGCTTGAGGTTTGGTCATCTTTGGGGGGGCTCGGAGCAACTCTGCCAAACGCAAGCCTGATGCCTTCTCACTGTGCTCAGGCGTTCGTGCATGGCAGTGTCCGCAAATGTCAGTTCTAGCCTCCAGAACATTGGCTAAGGGTGCCCATGCGCGCAACTCACAATGTCACACACCTGTGATAAATCCGTGGAACTGACCTACTCCCTGTTGCTGGCGCTACTCCCAGTGTCACGGGATGATTTGGGAGTTGTCCCAAGCGGGTGCCTGGTTTTAGCGCTGTCTGTGAAACATGGTTGGACCTTGGACAAGCTGCGGGCCTTTCAAATGCTCACAGTTTGCAAAGCAAGAAAGCATCGTGCACTCTCAAAGGGCGATTGATGGCCAGCAGTCCTCCGCCCCTGAAGGTTCCGGGGCCATTTCTTCAGAAGAAAAGGAGAATCGATTCGGGCAGCTGAGACATTGCAGTGGCCCGGCAGCAGGGCTTGTTTTTCTTCAACTGGCGACCAAATTGCCGAGGAGGCATCGCCAACTTGGCCCTTGGATCCAAAGATTCCCCGCAGTGCTGAACGGGGTCCAATGAGCGATGTTCAAAATAGCTACCCGCCTACGAAAACGGAAGTGCAAAAGAAGCGTGCCCTCTTGACTTCCAGTCTTGTTGGTGGGGGTAATCCAACGTAAAAAGTGTACGTACGCACTCTCAGACAAAGACCCCGAATAAAATTAGGGTGTGGGACCCCAAAACCGAGGGAACTAAAGAAACTGCCGGGTGCCCCGCGCCATCTCTTACACTTTGGATGGCATCCGACGGGCTCATCCAGGGCGAGCGCTTGGCTCATCCCTTCCTCCGCTTCCTGGGCTGGCAAGAAGCTCAACTGAGGGCACGGGAGAAGCAGGGAAACACGCGAAACCCCAATGCCGATCCGAAATGGGGGGAGGGTTCCAAAGACACATGGGCAGGTTGGAAAGTCGAAATGGTTGGCCCGACGAACCATTTTGGAAGGAGGATCTGGGTTCGTGTTTTCTGGAGGGGAGGGGAGGGGAGGGGAGGTGGGGGGGGATTACCCTTTTTTGGGTTGACTTGAAAGGGGAAATCCACAATTTTGGGGCATCATCCTGGATTTAACACACATCGCAATCCAGCATCTCATTCGTTCCGAACGGCAACATCCGAGAGGATTGGGGTGCGCGGCGCAGTTGCATATGGTGACCCGGACAGGAGAAAAGGGAGGGCCTTTTTGGCTGATCATTTCAAGCATTGTGAAGATGCCAATAACAATTCTTTAACTCTATCTCTCTCTCTATCTCTCTCCTCTCTCTCTTGAGAGCGCTATCCCGCAGGTCGCAACTTAGTGACACGTTGGGCCCACGAATCGCAGACAAGACTAGTCCTGATATCGCCACTCGCCTGGCCCGTTCGGCACAAATGATCGAGATTTGTAAAACATGGGAATGTGGTGCAGGAAGCTGTAATCGACAAGGAAGCGGAGTGCGATGCCGTCCAGCACATCGGCATCAGAATCATGGAGCAAAACGTGACACCCTTGCACGAACGTGGATGTCTCCATCCAGCAACTCTATCCAACCCCGACAGCCGTAGGAAACTGCCCATGAAAAATGCCTTGGGCAGCCACTTCCAAACCAAGCGGGCCACGCCGAGCCCGCAGAGCCGACTGAGATACTGAGACCACAGCCAAGGACCACAAGATGGCACCTGTGCAATGTCACTCTGTGTGCAAACAAGCTTCCGATCTTCTGAACAAGTCTTGTGCTTTCTCTGAGCGCTAGCTCTCGGTGCAAGTTTCTCTGCGCAACTTCTCTGTGCAATTTCCCTGCGCAAGCTCTCGGGGCAGAAGCCGACTTCAATAGGAAAGTTGCGAATCTCCAGCTAGAGCTGCGAACGTGCACTCCGCGTAGTGCCTTATCGCAGCCCGCGCGGCGACAGCAAAAAGCAGATAGGGTCGCGCGCCTATAGCAAAGTCGACAGCTTTTGCACATAAAAGCCAGTCTGCGCAAAAGGTCACGAAGCAGCAGCAAACAGTGGCAAAAGCCCCCAGCGCACCTTGGCCAAGCAAATCCCCGCAGAGGGTCACTACATGAAAATTGCAAAACTAGTAAGTAGCAAAGCAGACCGAACCGCTTCTCCCCGCCAAGAGCCGCGATCCTGTTCGGTTCTGCCGCGCCGGCTTAAGACATTCTACTTCTCAATTGTACGCAAACTCTATTGTTCCATGGCCCGGTGAGTCTCCGCACGCAAGAAGAAGAACACAGCACGCATGCGGCCCACCCGTAGTCACAGAATACAACCGCTGCGCAACTCTCCGCAACATCTCTGAGTGACATCTTAGGTGTTACCACGGCGTACAATCCCCGCGCAACTCTCTGCAATATCTCGAGGTGATACCTTCTGTGCAATCACATGGGGAACGATCTCGGGCAACTCTCTGCGCAATCTCTCTGTGTCGCTTCTCCCTGCGTTGTGTCTTATCTGCGTCGCTCTGCGAGAAGTCTCTCTGAGCAAGAATTTGCGTCGCTCTGAGTCTTCCACCGAGTCTTCCTTGCTGTCTGGCTGTGTCAATCTGTACGCTGTCTTTCTCTCCCTCTCTCTCTGTGCAAGAAGCAGGCGATCTTACCGGAACAACCCCCCAAACATATCGACCCCAGTTTTGGTCTAGCTTAATCTTCCGCGTGTTTGGGGACTGGGGTGTTGTGTTTGGCGCGCGGGCCCCGAAGGATCCTAAGACCAAGGCGAGGGGCTTCCATGCGCCGCCCCGGCGTGTGGAGTTGGCGTCGCGGCCGCGCTTCCCGTGGCCGCTGTGCACGGCCGCGATGTCTTTGTCCCTGCGCTCCGCAAGCTTCTTCTGGGTCCACTCCTGCCTGAGCCGTGGAACCGAGGAACAAATGGGTGTGTCTTATTTCAAGGGTTCCCTTGTAGGGAAACAAGCAATGTGGTCCGGAGCATGGTTGGGCTCGAAGCGAACCACCGAATATGGACCATCCAAAATTATCGATTTCCTTAGGGCAAAAAGGGTCAACGATGCCTTCGCGTGCACTTGAAGTGCCTAAGCCACTAAAGAAGCAAACGCTCGATGGTTCTACTACCTGGTTGGCTGGGGAAATAGTAATGGCATTTTAACAAAAACTGAGGCCCATGTTGGCAGAACCAAAGAAACATCTGTGTTTGGGGTACTGCTCGTTTTTTGGCGAGCATCAGTGAGCATAGGCGCAGCCTTCTTCTGGCGGGAATAATTGCTGCTATGCCCAATGCCCACCTCATATCACCTCATAAGAAATGGAATTGAGGGAGCAAGACACCTCCAAAAAAGGAGTTCCATGTCTACTTCCATTTGAGTAAAGCAAACGACTAGTGGACAAATCTCAAGACATGTCCGTCCATCCATGCCAGGACGTTGCCAAGGCACACGCAAAACTATGGCACAAAGAGGGAACCCAGGGAAACCAAAGGAGGAACCTCGTCACTGGATCCAAAGACTCCTCCAATCCGAGGGGGAAGTGAAGGATCAGCGACTCTTCCATTTTCCCTTTTGTTGGAGGTATGCCGCACTTGTCCCCAAAGTCGGACCACTTTGGTAAGGCTGTCAAAAAACGGAGATTCAACAGGAACCTGCCTGCTGTCCACTTTGGATTCCTCCCCTGTAACCCTGCCTGTGTTGAATGAGGAGTCTGGATCTTTCTGGCTTCCTTTGACAAATCACACAAAAAGTGGTGCCCCTCATGAGGATTCAATTCGAAACGAACACACCTCCCCCCAGCAATGGTCCAGGAGCACTTTCTCATCTCGGATCAAGGTGTCCAGAAAGCTACGGCCGCTGTGAGCGGACACCTCCTGGGTCTTGGTGTTCAGGCCCACCGGCGCCATGCCGCCGCCCACCTGCACACGGATTGATTGATTCAATGCCGGGACTTCCACTTAGAGGCGCCGGCATCCCAAAAAGCGGACCCTGAAAAACGACATTTGGGGGTTAAACCCCATTAGGCCTGTTTTTCAGCCAGCCACAAAGGTCCACCGTTCGGGGAAGCCCTCCTCTCATAAGCCGGGGAATGCCGCCTCCGTGGCAATGGTGAAGTACTTGGGCAACTCCTGCCGGTCGTTGGCCTTGTAGAACCTCGGGGCTCGGCTCCCGTTCGACCGAATCCATTGGCCCAAGGCTAAACAAAAGTGGCTTGGCCCCCGAAAGGGAAACCAAACAAACCGAAATGACCCCGAACCACTAAACTGTTTGCGACTACCTCCCTGGCCTGTTGGGAAACCTACAGAAAAACCTTGACCAAGTTTCGACCCAAAGGTGCTCAGATTGCTCCCCTGTGGGCGGGTTCCAAAGCCCAAGACCGGCACTTGAGAAGCATGGGATTCAAGGGATGGCTCCGCAAGATGGGTGTCTCCCTGAAATGGCCGGGGATTCCCTGTGCGAGTCTCAAAAAAGGAACGCCACATAAGATCGGTGTAGATCGTATGGATCAGAACAAGGTTTGACATAGGAAACTGCTGAGCAGTGGGCGATTGATTTATCGATGAAACCCGCGGCCCCTCCAAACCGCGCCTCTTTGGGTCGAAGTTTGCACGCAGCCGCAGGGCTTTCAGCTCCTTCTCAAGCTCTGGGGTCATCTTGTGCTTCGGGAGGCCGAACCATTTGTCCAGCTTTTCCTGCACTCAAACGCGGTTTTGGTTCTTCCGCACGAAGAATGTGGAAAGGAAACCTTAAAACCCGGCCTTCCAGCCCAGTTGCGCAACAAACAAGTAAGCCGTACGGTACAAATAAAACAGATTTAGAGAATGGAATCCACTGGGCAACTGGGCAATCCAGGCCTTGCATATGGCTTGTTCAACCAAATTGTTAGTATAGGTTCTCTGTTACCAAATGTTGACCCAGAAATGCCGCTGTCCGACGTGTCAGGGAGTCCTGACATAATACAAGTTTTGGGATTCTCTCAAAAGTGGTTCCCTGCTCATGAACATCCTGCACATGATTCACGATCCCGGAACTCTCGAGCCACGGCTCACGCTTGGAGGCGGTGTTGGAACTGTTTTTTGACAACTTAATGGGGCGTTCTCCAACGCAAGGCATCTACCTTCCGACACCTTCCTTCTACTATTGCTTCTTTCCAGCCAACAGCGCACGACACATAGGAAAGTGATGGAAAGTGTCTCAGTCAAGACCTTCGTGCAGCACCAACATCAAACAAGTTAACCTGATGAGGACAAATCAGGGTGGTTCAAATCGTAGTGGTGAAATAATTTTCGTTCAGGGCAACATGGTCCTCCTGATGAATCCGAAGGTGACATTGACGATTTGTGGGAGCTTTGGAGTAATGCCGAGACACCGGAGAAGCAAAACAATGGAACTTTCACCATTGTTACTCTTCTGCCGCCCGTTGGATTTGAAGGAACCAAAAAACAATGGCATCCACCCATTTCCAGCCAAATTGACCCGCATTGGAAATCACAAGCGGGAATATCCCCTTGAAGGAAACCACAATGACCTGAAAGGGCTCCAAAAGACGGACATTACATTGGCCACTACATCAACCTCTTTGCTTCGGAGCGTTTCCCCCAGCCTCCTTCTGGCGCCGCAGCTCGGCCCTTCTTTCCTTGCTGCGAGGAAATGGGCTTGGCTCAAGAGCGGAAATGCTGGTTCTGAGCATGGGAGGAGTTGGAATGACCCTGAACTGCACCATCCAACAACTGGGGGTTTCCTGTAAGGGGTTTCAGCAAAACCGAAAGCCCGCGAACCCTCTGCTGAGAGAACCAGGAAGAGGAAAGGGACCCCCAAAACGGTCAGGTTTGACATTGTTTGCGGTTTCCCTGATTAGCATCCCAGGCATATCCCTTTCATCCCGAGAGTCATCCTTTTATTGTCACGTGGCTTCCTTCGTTTTCCCTTTTTTGAGACCAAACCAAAAAGGGATCCCGCCAAAAAAGATCACACTATTTGAAATGAGGCTTTTTAGTTTCATGTCCACCTACCCATGTGCAGCGCACTGCTCACCATCAAGTCTCAGCTGTTGTCTTGAGGTGTCTCATTCTACAGCTCGTGGGTCGTGTTGATGCTGTGTGGGGCTGCAACCTTTGGAAATCCAGGCTGACCCCATCGCTCTGAGATAGCCTACGAGAACGTTCATGTCGAACAGAGACCCTCCTTCCAGCCCATGCCAATATTGACGCAATCTAACCAAACAATTTGTCAATCCAAAACGCTGACCCCTCCAACGCAAACCATCCAATGGAGAACCTGACTTCAGCGGGGCTTTCACCAGCCTCTGGCACATCGGAAAAAATGGCCAGCCTTTTCCACACTCCCAACCCCACAACCCATTGGGCCTTCGCATCATCCACCGGCCGCACCGGCGCGCCCCGCTGCTCGCGCTCAGCCCGCGGCGAAATATTCGGTGCCTGCACCGCGCTCTGGCGGCACAGGTCCGCCGTGGAGTGCTGAAAGCGGCCTCCCGCTGATATGGGTTGGTTGCAAAACTGGCTCAAACAACCAGACTCTGCCCCGGTTGAAAGGGAAACAAAGAGGAGGCTGCTTCAACCAGACTGGTTTTAAAGAATCGCCCGCCCCTGCGGAGTGGCAAACGGGGCTGGGGCTTTGAAATTAATCTTGGCTCAAAAGTGCAGAGTTTTGGTTCCCCAGCGAGGCGTCCAAGGCCAAAAATGAGGCCCTGGCCCCGCATTTTTCCACACGCCGCGCTCAGGGGAACATCAACCAAAATGGCGACAGTGATACGTTCATCATCCGAAGGGGGAAATACAGAGGCCTGGTCATGCAGGAGCTGGTGCTATTCGTCAGAGCTACACATGCCAAGCATGGTCCCAAGAGTAGACAAATGGGGGGTCCAAAGTGGGTCCCGGAAAAAATGCAGCTTTCATTTGGGTAGACTACACATGCGTGCCATGAGTGGAGTTGCGGAGCTGCTTCGGCAAGAAGCTCCGCCTGGCAAGGATGCGGTGTTGAAAGCTTCCGGCGCTGGCAGGTAGAGCTCCTCCTAGCGCGAACGGCCAAGTGCCGACGAAACTGAAACCTCTCCCAGTGGATCGCAGTTGTGGCTATGGTAGCCAGTCAGTTCCAGGTGGCTTTTAGAGGGTGGTTCCCATGATTACCTATGGGTTGATGGAATCATTTTCTCGTAGTGTTCCCAAAAGACATTGTTCCATCAAGGTCTCTTATGTACATCTCGTGTACGTTTTGGACACAGCTCAACAGTGCCGCAGGACGTGGTTGTTTGAGAATCCATTAAGTTCAATCACCCACTTTGGAATCTCGAAAATCTCGGTCCCACTTGGAGATGAGCCCATGCATGTCCCCCCAAAAAAGAAGCCCTTTAAAGCAATTCTCGAATGCCCCCACAGTCCTCTCTCTCGCGGCTTGGGAAATCAAGAGAAACCCTTTTCAGGTTCCCGGTCCTCAACCCTCTCACCTCACGGTCTTCCCTCCCGTCCTCTCGAAGACCCGTGTCCAGCTTGATGGCCTCAGACTTCCTTGCCGCCAGCTTCAGGGCGTGGTCCACCGCCCTCTGGGCGATGGCCTCCATGTCCACCTCGGGGTCCTCGTGGAGGTCGCGTTTGGATCAGCGATTTTCGGATTTGATCCCCTGGCTTTTGTAGAGGGCACGTGGGAAACCACCCCCTAACCTCCAAACCCATTGGCAGGGGAATGGCAAGCCCTAGATGGCACGACTCCCTTTGACATTATGCAATCTACTTTCACCCAAGTGTAAGGTGGATTGCACTTTCCCCAAGCCACGCCATATACAAAGTTGCTGCATGGTGGTTGCATATGCCAAAAAGCCTTTGCTCTTGGAGGCTGGAGGTTTGGGGGGCTCGCACTGGTATGCTGTAGGGATTGTTGCTTTTCCATTGTATTAAGCCGTCATTCTTGTGACCAACCATAAGGGTTGCCCCTGGGAAAATGACCAAATCCCGGTTGATTTTGATTGGGGGATGCAACCCGTTCTAGAAGGCTTTCGGATCACTTAGCCGGGGAACCCCTGGACAACACCAGGGTCAACCTTACCAGTTACCGCTATCGGGGCTTGCATGTTTGCGAGGCACCCTCTTTGACGTCAGACAAAGACATACAATCAATTCATTTGTGGTGTTCCCCCGATGCAGATACACGCTATGGCTGCCGGAGGAAAAACCTGCTCCAATACTCTTCTGGGTTGTGCAAAAATCAAATTGGGTTCCGGATCTCGAATCCTAATCCGTGGCGGGACGTCACTACAACAAGCGCACTGCCACCTGGCAAGGATTGCACTCCTGCAGTTAACACGGAACCCGAAAACAGTGGAATCTCCTTTGTGGTCCATGTTGACCTGCATGGACTATCGTTGTGAACACCCCAGCCAGACAAAAAAGATGGGAACAAAAAACTCTGCCTCCTCCTCCTCAGCCTCTTCCTCTTCGCCTTCCTCATCGTCATCTGCGCTTGCCTTCAGGGTTGGGCCAAATCCTTGTCTCAAGCAAGTTTACATTAAGCCGCTAACGTTTAAAACAATCCCGGCTTGATTTGCCTTTAAAGAAGGCGAGGGTTGCTTGTTTGTTTCTTGCTGCCCAACCCTCTCCGCCTCCTCTTTCACCTTGGGTTCCATTTGGCCTTCAGGTGCCTCTTGTGCTTCACGGCCGCCATGTTTTGCCATGGCTGCGCTGAGGGCAGCGCAACACCCTGTCTGTTCCGTGCTCGAGGTCTGGCAACTGACCCCTTTGAGGGAGGGACAACAATAGCAACAAATGCGGCCACTCAAAAGCATTCATGACAATCTGACAATAAACCAGCTGTAAGACAGGCCAGAAAAAGGCTTCACTTGGCGAAAGGGGCAGCACTGAAAGTTACCTGTTTGCTGAGTGCTGCAGAATGCGAGCATTGTTCAATATGACGTGGTTGCTTGCTTGCTGGCTGGCTTCCAGGCTCGTATACAGTACTTGCTTGCTTCCATGCTTGCTAAACCTGAATGTTGGTTCACATCTTTTTTGCCACAGAGGAAATCAAGTTCCCGTGTCAGCTCAAAGGGCTTCACAATGCTGCAAGCTTGCACTTTTGAATCCTTGGCATTCCAGCAAAGAACGTTCCTTTTTGTAGCCACCCGCGAAAATGCGCAGAACCGAAAAACTCAAAACATGCTCCTTAGACTCCCAGAATTAAACAGTTGCCACGAAATGGTGTGGGCCACAGCTGCGCTTGCGTAAGTGCATCTTTCAGGATGAAACGCGGTGGTTTACCAACCTGAAATTAATTTCGCCAAGATTGTTTCCCTCCCACCCACTAAGATGACACTAGAAGAGATGTCTCCTTTAAAGGGCCCTTTTGGTGGCCTTCAAGTTGTAATCAGTGGCAGGGCTCTTGTGATGGCCTAGACGGCTTTTAATGGTCGTGGGCCGTGGGGTGCTTCAGAAACCAACTTTGTTGATAAGATGGTACCGTGTGTGTGTGTGTGTGCTTATACTGCATCCCTTCAGGCCTGCCGACCCTCTCACAAAAACCCAAGATACCCGGGCAATCTGTGCGTCCGTGCGTCGAGATTGCCCTGCTTGCGCAGGATTTCTCCCCGCATCTGCATGGCGGGCCTGGCAAACACCCAATGGGACCTGACTTTTTGAGCGATGACCCGCAGAAGCAGTATTGACCCTGTCACAAGTCAGCTGCTGGCCGTGCAATCACAATATTGCAGGATGAAGAAAGACTGCAATGGCCATGGTTGGAATTGGTGGTGTATGCGCGGTATTCTAAGGGCTTCCTCCATTCCAACTGGTGCAGGATGGAGGGACACCATGAAACGGGGACTCTCCAAAACTCCTTGATGTTGGATCCTTCAATGCAAGTTAACCTCTAGTTGGGTTGTTTAATGTACAATTTATACAACTCTGGGACGGCTTGTAAGCCCTGTCAGAAACACCCTGCAATCCTCAATCATGCCTTGGGGTGAGCCCCATAGTGCCCTCAGTAGGAACTCCCTTCCAATGCTTGGCCAAATTACAGTAAGCAAAACTGTGGTTGCTGTGCCCCCTTGAGCCAAAGTTGATCACCTTCTGTAGTTGACTAGACAAAGCCACGTGTTACCAAAAGGAACCCCCAGCCGCAGGGAAACAGTTCTTTTGAGATGCGGGGTGCCAGGACTCAGGCCCTGGTCGCTTTCACACATTCATTGGGCCACCCTGCGCGTTGTCGGGCTCCAGGCGCAGCACAGCGTCAAGGTCACCCAGGGCCTGGCGGTCTGAACTGAGGCGTGGTTGCACGTATGGCCGCTCGCCTTTTCTCCAACCCCTGTTGGGCTCGAACGTGAACAGGTAATTGCAAGGCAGGTCGAACAAAGAAGCCCACAGGCGATTATCAACAGCAAATGACATACTAATTAGCTGCCTCACGGATGGAGTCTCAGAAAAGCCCGTGGCAACCTGGCAAAGGACGCAACCAGGCCAAGATCGTTCCTTGCTCTGAACAAATGTTCTCTGCTAAAATCAGCCCAAACAATGATACCATTAAACGCGCCATGACACGCATGCCATGCACTGGTTTGGATCCTCTCAGGGCTCGGCGTGCCACGCACTCCATATTGCAGGGGGGGATTGTCCAACAGTTTCAGGCAAACATATGGTCGAATATACGGAACTGTAATTCACCTGGGTCACCCAAGCCGTGCCAACTCTCCCAAGATATCACAAACTTGACCAGAACTATTCACAACTCCTGTAAACAGCGCTCAGCGACTCAATCAGGGTCAAGGACGCGTTTTTCCAGTCGCTGCCTGGGGCAAGGCTGTATAAAGACCAGGTTTTTGCGAGCTGAATCAAGCTCCCAGACCACAGCATATGCTGGGACGGGGGGGTTTAAGGCGAAAGCACGTCTGCGGTGTTTCCTCCGACTGTGCTCTCCATAAAGCAGCACATGCATGGACACTCGCATGGCAAGGGGTCGGATGTCAATGGCCGTGCCTTTGTGGCAAGGCTGAGGGCCAGGGTGCTCTGAATGCTACAAGCAGATCTTCCTCATGCTCTCCCATGAATGCTGAGATGCCAGTGTCTGCTCTATGAAGCTACACTGTTTGTAGGATGCACCCCGCCATGTTCGAGTGGCCGCTGTTGGGCTTTCACAAACCCCGACTTCACTTCAAGTGGAAGCTACAAGCCTGCATTGTGCTGCAGGCCATGGACATTCCAGAACAGAATTTGAGAGTTGCAAGGCGTACTTCCTCTGCAAAATAACATGGGGCGCAAAAAGGGGTCCCCTCAAAGAAAGGTTCCTCAACAAATGACGGCGTCATTTTGGGGTCCCATGTCAATCTGGGAGGAAATCGCCATTTTCAGGAAGACCTCTCTCGTCTCAATAGCTCGTGGTGGCGGGCGGGACGTCGCCTGCAAAAACCGGCGCCCGAAACGTTCCCTTTCGACCAGGGTTCCATTTGCTGGTTGCCTCAAAGGCTTAAATCCTCCAGCAGTCCATCCCTGGGTTTGAGTCTAACTTGGGGTAGTCAAAGAAGAGAATCCTCGTTTCCAATGCTGGTGGGTGTGAAGGTGTCAAACCCGGGGCCTGACATATTTTGGGCTGTGTAAGCCTTGGGGGGGGGGGGGGGCGGGGGGCGTGGTTCCAATGTGTATTCCGCAATAAGACCACGACAACAAGGGAAGCCACCACCATCTGGCCTGAGGATGGAGCCTGGTATCGCCTTAAAAAGAGGTACCCAAGAAAGGGCCAAGGAATGCTGGAGCCCGGCGCCGCAGCCTCGGACGGAGTAGCCGCTTGAGTAGCCGCAGCACGGTACCTGCGAGCATACCACGCATGAGACGCGTGCAGGCAAGCCAAGCCCCCACACCGCTTGCCTTTGTAAAAATGATGCACGGCGGCATGTCCCTCATGGGACAAATCCGAGTCAACACAATGCATGTTGCCTCTTGAGGATCGTTCAAAAGGATGAACCGCCTTCCCACGTGAATTACCATGGAACCAAGCAGCCACTGCTGGAAGGTATTTGGCGCATAAAGGATTCCGTATTCGCCCATGTGGACCATGCCACCCACACCATGGCCCCCCACACACCCGCCTCAAAAGCCATGCCAGGCGAGAGGCCCCCAGGCACCGTGACGCACAGCGGCTGGCCGTCCGGGCCCTCGGAAAAACGACCGCAGCGTCAACGACCCAAATAACAAACTTGTTGCTGGCTCAAAGGCCAAAAATGTCTTACAGGTTGAACTAAATCACAAAGGTTGGAAAAACAACAAAAACCAAACGCGACTTTGGATGAGACCCGAAACCAAAAAACATGAAAAAAACAACTGGCCCAAAACAACTGAGCAAAAGAGCACCCCGCCATATGTGAAGATCTCGTTTGTTGGGGGCATATTGTGGATGGACAAGAACCAATATTCATACATAGGCCCTCCATCCTAACTGGTGCAAAGTGGATGTTGGCTCTCGGACCGCCAACAACAAAAACGTTTAGAAAAGAACCCCGGCACGTAGGTGGTTTGTCTTCCCTGCAGTTGATTTAATAGCCCATCTGTGCGGCTGAGTATGCAGAGTTTATGATTGCCAAAACCGCACCGTCTTGCAGCCTGAAACTTCCCCTGCACAATGCTCCTCACAACGAGCGAAGGAAAGGGTACATCTGTCAGTGAAACCTTGCAAAGTCCTGAAACGTCGCAAAAGACTCCTGCAGATTGACATTGCAGAAGCTCCTTTTGGGCAGTTCCCCCTTGTTGGATTCGATGTTTATATGCGGGGAGGGGCGGGGAGTTGAGATATTGCTGTCAAGTCGTGCCAAGCCGCCGTAATGCTCATCTGAGAGCCAACCTGTCCAGCAACAGCATGAAGTACAAACATAACATGTCTCAGGTGGCCAAACGCTCATTTCAGCCGGTTTTGAGCAAGTCGGTTAAAGGGGTTCTGAAAAGGGCATCGTACTTTTGCCAGCTTGACGCACATGTCTCAGAGAGGACCCCTAAATCCAAGTGTGGGTCGGGAACCTCACGTGTTTTTTTTGTTGGATGAGCCGTGAGCCATCCAGCTTTCAGAAACCTGGCTGTTTTCGGTGGTTCTCCAAATGCTTATCCCATCCAGGTAGATGTCCTTCTCCCCTTTTAGGGCAAATCATTAGCCCCTCCCACCAGAGATCAGAACCCGTAAGAAGATTCTTTCTGCACCTTTCTCAGGTTGTGCTTTGGGCGGCCTTTGGTTGAACTTCCCCTCCTAAACACAGACCCGTGCATGGCAAAAAGGGCACTCTGTTTTGGCAGCTGGTTCTTCAGGGGAAACTACTCTTAAAATGGAACAAGGAATCAGCTGTTTGGGCGTCTCTGGGCAAGAAACAACCCTGAAACGGGTACATCAACTGCAAAAAGAGAGCCGAACACCACGCCCATGGCAAGAATCCCCACCTCGCATCCTTCAGGCACCGTGAGGGACATGGTTCCTCAGCCGAATAAGGTGAGCAATCAGCGGTTCAGCCGCTGAGTGGGCCCCACACCCTCGGTTGAACTCTTGCACATATGCAAGTGCTTTATGTTCTGCGTTTTGTTGGGTTCGATGTAAGTTCGCAGGAGGGATATCCACCCGCGCAATATCGGATTAATCCGCAGGACCATGCTCACGGGTGCATCACGCTCCCGTAGGGAATCGACTCATATTTCGTGGATTCCTCGGCGCCAATGGGTCCTCCGGATTAATGTTGACCGTGTTGCACCCTGAAGGTTTCTTTATCCGCGGGCGACATCGATCTGCATTCTTACAATAGCTCCAAAACCTGGAGTAGTGGATCCTCAAGAAAATTTGCAGACTTGTTCAAAGCCAACACGCAAGTCATTGACGTAGGCGGACCCAAAGGCTACCCCTTGAGGCCCCGGCCAATCGCAGGGCGGGATTGGCACTCCTCTTCCACGTCCACCACCTGGAGGTCCCTTGAGCCTTCAACCTCTCCCTGTGAGGCAGACAGACAGGCGTCACCAATTAGGTTTGTCAAGGGCTCCTTGACAGGAACCAAATTCCACAGTTGGGGGGCTCCCCCCCTCCTTGGTAAATGAGAAGGCCCTCTAAAAAGTACGCCGGAAGGCGCAAATGGACTGAAAGACAAACTTGCTTTGAGAGGGTCATATTTCAAGGAGCCCTCCAACATACCTGTTGAGCATACTTCGTACTTCGAGGGTTCTTAGACGGCATACAAGAACGACGCGAGTGCTCCAGCCCGCAGCCTGCCAGGATACAAACCACACGGCAAACAAGCTCGATATAGAGAGAGAGACAGAAAGAAAAAAACAGCTTCTGGTGTACCAGAGCCACAACCCACGCCAACCGGGCCCGAGCCGGAAGCCCGTACCACCCGGGCGTGAGCCCGAGCCACCCACCACGGAGCCGTCAGCCAGGATGGCAGCAAAAGCGCTTGCACTTGCTCGGGTCTGCTGAACACACCTGTCGTCCTCCAGGACGGCAGCAAAAGCACTCTGAGTTGATTGGATCTACTGGACGCGCACCAACTGCTCTCCCACCTGGCTGCTGTCACCGCCCCTAAGTCAGATGGGAGCGCGCTCCACCCGGGCATGAGCCCGAACCACCCGGGCGTGAGCCCCAACCACCCGGGCGTGAGCCCGCTCATTCGCGAACCACCCACCACAGAGCCGTCGGCCAGGAAGCGCCTGCACTTGCTTTGATCTGCTGAACACACTTGTCACCACAGAGCCGTCCTCCAGGACGGCAGCCAACTGCTCTCCCACCTGGCTGCTGTCACCGCCAAAACACGATCTCCCACCCGGGTGTGAGCCCGAACCACCCGGGCGTGAGCCCCAACCACCCGGGCATGAGCCCGCTCCACCCGGGCGTGAGCCCGAACCACCCACCACGGAGTCGTCGTCCAGGATGGCAGCAAAAGCACCTGCGCTTGCTTTGGTCTGCTGAACACACTTGTCACCACAAAGCCGTTCTCCCGGCTTCTGCCGCGTGGGCCGGCGCGGGGCCGCAAAAAAAACAAGAGACAAAAAAAAAAGAAACGAAAAAAGGCACTGTCGCTCCGAGGGCGAAACGGGAATCATGAACCAGGTGCTCATCGGACCGAAACGGAAAAAGGAACGAACAAAAAACAAACAAAAAAAGAATCCGGTCCTTAGTGCCGCCCTCTGGGGTCCTGGTCCACGCGCCATTCCCAATTCGAAACCGCCCCCGGACCCAGGGGGACAAGCTCGATATAGATGAGAAATCTGGTTTCCCGCAAAGGGAAACCCAAAAAAAAAGGCACTCTCCAAAAGCTACACGCACCCAAATGGTGTGGAAGGGTTGATTGTGTTGCACCTTTCCCCACCGCCCACGGCCCCACGCTGCGAGCCATTTGTATCCCCTTACTGGGAACATAAGTTCACCTTCCATTTGCAATTTGCTTGATGTGTCACCACAAAAGCTAGCTTTACCAGTCATGGACCTGTTCCGTTTGTGCGCCTCCAAGTCACCTGGGGGTGGTGGTAGCTCGCCTGAGCACGCAGAGCATGTCACATGTTTTGCTATCTTGCGTGTGAATTTTAATGGGGGACATCATGTTGATGGGGATTCCCGTGCACCAACCACTTTTGAGGAGGTTCCTGGGGTGGTTGACCTCCGTATTACGAGGAATTGTTGGAAGGCTACAATTCACGCACACAAATTGCCGGGCAGGATGCTGTTGGCTTCGTTCATTCACATGCTCATCTATTGCCGCAAAGCAGCGGAAGTGTCAATCAACCGTGCCTTCCCTTCTCGCCTTACTTCTGTTCTTGAGCTATGGCTGAGTAAGAGGGCTTGAGCACGGAAGAAACACATTCGTGGCAACCAATTGCGCCCAAAAAACCGGCTTTGACATCTGCCCGACCCAGCCTGCAGGCTTGGCCAAGTCGGCCATGATGGCTTTCATAAGGCGGCCCTCACCGGCGTGTCTTGGTTTCCATGTTTTCGGCCCACGCTTTCGCCCGCGGGAAGCTAGAAAGGAGCAGTTCCAAAAATGTGCACCTGACAGGAATGGCTTACAGACATGTCAAGATGCGCGCATTCCACTTTGCAGTAGCTTCTTGGGGTCTTTCAAGGTCTTTGAAATGATTGCTTTCAAGGATGCAGAGGTGCTCAAGGCCAGAAACAACGTGCTGCTTGCTCACAAATCCACCAAGAAAAACATCCGAACGACCATGCAGAACCATCTCCTGCTCCACACGGTACCGCATTGAAGCACTGAAGCTTTGGTACCTGGGCAAGTGCGTTGGCTGAGGCCTCTGCATTGACCTGGATGTCTGTACGTTCTTGAGGGTAACCTTTTCAACGATACATATCCGAATGACTGCTGGTGTGCAAATCCTCTGCACAGCCTGTTGGACAGACCCTCTCTCGTTTTCTGGGGGCCCACCTTCTCTGGCTGAGGGTCCAAAAAGTAGCCCACCTGAAACCGCAAAGCCTTCAACAAAACCTATGAAATCGACCTGATGAATCGAAACCGGCCTGAAAAAGCCTTTCGCTTGGACACTGGCCAAAACATGATCCATGCTTAATTAGCTCAGTCTCCAGGCGTACGACTGACCCCTTGTTCAACCCATGGTCGAAACCCGTCTGGTTCCATGCTGGAAGCTTAGGGTCCCCTCTTGGGAGTGCATGACCTATATCCTTTTTTTGGGGGACCGGCGGCAGGCTGCTTGAACAACATCGCGACCAACCCTGCACAAAGCATGCCAAGGTGCTCCAACTGTTGGATCCTTAGATCACGGGTCTCGTAACAAACTTCAGTCCTTGCGCCAACCGCGAATTCGATTGAACGCCTCATGAGGGGCTTCCTTCTAGAGAGGTTCGCAGGATTGATGCGGAACAATTCAGATTCGTTAAACCAGCATGCCTGTACACCGGCTTCGAGCAGGCCACAGGACGGCGCCAAGAGAGGCGACCCGGACACAGCCAATGCTTGCCGAGTGCCAAACATTCAAGCTGGCAGAATAAACGCACGTCGGAACAAGATCAGTGATCTATCCATGCCGGTGGAATCAGCCGAGCTTCAGCGAGTTCATCAGGTCGCTCAGGGCTGCCTCAGGCCAGTGGCACGACCCCCTACACTGCCCCGCGAATAAAGCCAAGACGAAGCCAAAGGAAAGCCGCCTTCAGGGGCTCCACTGAGAAATAAACCTCAGACGTAATTTTGTTGAACCATTAAACAATAACCAAATCTTGCTCATGCCACGTATCTCTCCCGCCCGGTTGTGCGCTGCGCAATGGCAACCCAGTCCGCCAACCAGCCGTGGAATTTGGTGGCAAACTTCTAACCTGTCGGCCGCTGAATCTTTTTCGTTTCTGCAGCTGGCTCCTTACCTTTCATTCAGTGCCTACAATACCTGACGGCATGCTGGATTGTAAAATAGGTCGCCCGAGCCGCGCTTCCCGGCAACAGGTCTGAAAGCGTTTAGGGTATTCTTCAAACTCTGCTGTGAGAAGCACCAGGTGAGGGGAAGCCTCCAATCTAAACCTTACCTCCAACCGTGCATGTTGAGCACTTTGCACCATAATTGCACAATGTCTTCAAGACTTGCTTGCGCTCTGCGGGGGGGCGTCCGCATTCGCATACCCGTCAGAAGAACGAGCAAAGCGGGCTGTGCAAAAGAAAAGCGGTCAGCCGCGGTGCTGGCTTGCAGATCAGGACCAGCGGCTGTTCCGTCTCGCCCTGCGGAGCGAACAAAAGGGAAGGCGGTTGCTCCAGTCAGTCGTGTTCCCTTCGAGCATGACCCTATCCAAAAAAATACATCATTGCAAAATGAGGCAGCCAAATTTTGTGGGTTGTTTTCTCGGCGTCTCCTGTCAGTTGTTCTTCCTGGTTTAGACTTAGGGTGCTTTCGGGTCGCTTTTGATCGCTCTAGGGTCAGCAAGGTCGGTTCAAGGTTGGTGGAGGATCAATTTAGGGCTTCCCCTGTACTCCCCGCAGCTCGTGGGACAATCTGTTCACTGCCCAGCAGTTCGTGCAGCATGCCATTGGACCGGCGGGGCCCACAGCTGCAAGAATCAACAACCATCAACCAGAAGCAGGAAAAACATCGCCCGAGCGCCAAAAGCAAAGAAAGAACCTGTTGGGCACGTATCCCCCAAAACGGCCGAAAAGGTGTTGTTCAACCCAAAGAAAAAATGGAACACCCGGGCGAACACCTCTCGGATTCTGCGGTGAGCTGGCCTCATTCTCTTACCACCACAGTCACTCAAAGGGAAATAACCCGAGTCCCAATTGCGAATCGCGAAGAACGCACCTCGTCCTGAGCTCGGCTTCGCAGCTCCGCCTTTCTCCGCTCCACGTCTGCCAGCACCCTGCGCTGAAGAGCGCGACGTGGCGAATCAGCCTAACAGGAGCCACTTCAGGGCTCCCTACATTTCCCCTAGCATCACCACCAGAAGGAAGCTCACTTCCTCAAATTTGCAAAAATGGCACTGTTTCAAACCACCAACAGGGAAGCATAGGAATCCTGCACATTGCCCGGGATAGTCAGAGCTGGGTGTCAAAAAGGTCTGGACTGATGAGCAGTTACCCATGGTTTGGCTTCCTTTTAAGAAAGGTAAAAGTTCTGGGTCAGCTTTTCAAAAAATCCCTCGCAAACAATTGGGAATATCAGGAATACCCCTGACTCATTTGCAAGGGTTTAAGAAGTCTTTCACATCCCTGTTTATAGGGTCAATTCTGCTGAGGATGTGATTTCAGGTTCAAGGATCACAAGCATCACCTCCACTGTTCAGCATCATACACGTTCTGCATAACTAACCTTGATTGATGTTGGATAGCTGGGATGAGGGCTCTGCAAAACCGTAAATCTCATCCCACCCCGACTAGTCGGTGGGGGCAAGAAATAGCAAGAATATGGTGGGAACTGAAAAGCGGCAAGAGCACTGCAAACATGAAGGTAGAGCCCCATAGGAAAGCCTGGGGTTCCCAAACCAGCGTCTGATCACAAGGATTTTTCCCATGCTACCCCTCGCAGCAGCGACAAACGGGAATGCAAGGCCCGCGTTGGACTAAACCTCCCAACGCCTGAGGGACAGAAATAGAACTGGAGAAAATGTGCAGAATTCACCAAGCTGGTATTCTTAGATAGGGGTCCCCTAAAATGGCTGGTTCCCCTTTGTTTCCACAAAAACAGAAGCCTTTTTGAGAAGCCTAGGTTTCTTGCAGATGTGAAACCCTGGACCCCGCGTCTTCGCCTCTGGAGATGCTCAGCCACATGCTGCTGGTCCTGATCGGAAAAACGGGGCGGTTAAAACAAACGACACGGACAAAGAAAATTTCCCCCTGGGGTTCCCTGGGCACCATTGCCACAATGGGGCTTCGTATAACCACCACTAGTTGCGTACGTAAGCAATCTCGTCATCTAAATTGGGTAAACCATTCTTTTATGGGAGGGGTGGGACCTTCCCATCCGTACGACTTGCTATCCAAAGAGGATGCACATGGTACTAGAGAAAGTTGGCATTGTGGCCAAAACCTACTTGGCTTCCGTTGCACCCACAAAGGCAAAATGGGAGGGTGTCCTTCTTGACATACAGCCAAAAGGAGACATACTCAGCTTCTAGCACCCCAGTACGCCTCCCTCGCAGATTGACATGGAACCCAGAATGCACCATTTTCCCTTGTGAGGGGGGTAAATAAGAGAGATGGCTGAACCAAAATTCACCAAACTGTACACATTTGAGGCATGTACAATCGTCAGCTGGCTCCCGGGTGCAGTGCTTTCATGGGTATGTCGTTTAATTGGGCGATCCGCTCATGTAAATGCATGGGGATGCATGTGCCCACCAAGCATTATTATTTAGCTGGCGTTAGGACCATTCCAGCTCAAATGAAAACCGGGCGTCAAACAAAGGGCCTGGAAACTCAAAGGAGAGGGAAACACAGTTTTGTCAACAACGGGGGAACCCGGGACCTTAAAAGGAACGAACCCCTCCGTGACTGCGACCTCTCCCTTAACCTTGGGGCTAGCGCGGTGCAACGCGCTGTTTTCAGCACTTGAGCCAAAGCAGTGATTGGATCATGCTTTGGCAATGACTTGAATGTACAACATGCAACTGACTACATGGGAACCTACCTCATGTACCTCTGGGCCATAACATGTCATCGTGATAATTGACTCCCCCCTCATTGACGGCACTGAGGGAGTGTCTTGGGCGCATTACCACGCCAACTTGAAGTCAAGTTTACATCACAACGACTGACACAAGTTATTCAAGCATCACCCAGGCACTTTGCACACTTTTGGAAATTTTGCGGACATGCTGCAGCGCACTAGGCAGCTGCTTTAGCGGCTCTACTTTCACGAACGTCTTCAAGCTTCTCTGGAAGGTCAACACGAATGCCGAGCAACCGGATGGCATGGTCCCACTTGTTGGGTGGAAGTGCTTTCGTGAAGATGTCCGCTGACTGCATGTCGGTTTGGACGTATTCTATCGAGATGTGTTCGCGTTCACCTTGTGCGTTCGCTGGACACAGCGTAGCTTGGATGAGAAACCTTTTCTCGCTACGAGGATAGTCGCCTGATTGTCCTCGTGGATCTTGAGATGGAATGATCGGTCCAAGATCAGCTCCCACAAGCTAAGCGCAGGGAGCGCCTCCTGATAAAGGGAGTATGCGAGAGATACAATCTCCGCCTCGGTCGTTGATCGGGAGACCGATGTCTGCCTTTTGGACACCCACGCAAGCGGAAAATGCGTGCGCGGACCACTCAAAATCAAGAATCCTCCGGACGTGGATTTTGCATCTCGCTCTCCAGCGAAATCGGCGTCCACATAAAGAGACAGATGCAAATCCTCAGTCGAATCTTGAACTGTGCCTACTAGCGTGCTGTTGACCGTGCTGTTTATGTAGCAAACAAGCCTATGTAGCTGCTTATCGCAGTTTCTAGACCATTTTTTAACAAATGAGGCAAGGTCGCCAATGGGCTTGACCAGGTCTGGGCGTGCCAAACGGCCGAGCCATAAGGCTTTCATCAACACGCGGCAAGCGGCGAAGCCGAGCTCACCCTCCAAGGCGTCATCGGCAGGATCAAGGGATCCAGCGGGACAGAATGGAGTGGTGGCATCACGCAACTTTTCACTTTTTAGCTGTGCAACCTCAAGATATAATGCCACCGTTTGACGGGCATAATCCCGCATGTCGAACGCCATGCCCCCTTTCAATCTGCCCATTGCGGCATTAAGATCGGGTTCAGTTGGGTCCTTTGGAGCATCTATCAAAAGGTGATTCCTGCCTAGCACCCGATATATGTCTTCTGGGGGTTCTATATCAACCAGTCTTGTTAACTTTTCCCAGAAGTCTTTATGAAGGTGGCTGGGGCCGGCCAACGTCAAGTCGTCGACGTATGTCGAGAGAAGTAACCCGGACTCCTTGAACCAGAAGTTTCCAGGAAACTCTGCGACCTCACGCCCTCCAAGTTCACTAATGAACCCTTTGAGGTGTGCCTCCCAGAGTCCGCCAGCGTCAGGATGCCCATAAAGAGCTTTAACGAGCAAAACCACAGGTTTCACGAAACGCTCGCGCCACCACCTCGGCCGGAGCTCAGGCGGGAGTGTGATCCAAGTTTGGTACTTGGACTTCAGCAGGGCTTGCACATAAGCCTTTATAGCGTCCGCTGTTGTGGTGGAATTCCCTGGCAGGGATCCATAAGCGAGACAGTTATTAAGACCTTGTACGCTCGTGGGATTTGCTCCCAACTCTTGGTAGACAGCTGCTGCGCCATGTTCGTCTTTCGCACAGTCTCCGCGATACACAATCCTACCTTTCATCTTCTGAAGGTGTTTCGCGAGTTCGGCGAACTTGACGGATGCTAGCGACATCAACTGTCCGAAATGGACTTTTATACTGGATCGTCGCGCCTCAGCAGCGACTTGATCATACTCTCGGACTGAATTTAGATCCCAAGCACCGGCTTTCTCCAGGCCTGTGGCTTCAAGTCGAACGGCTTCAAGAGCTTCCGGGGAAGCCAACATTTCGGCACGTGACAAGAGTCTGGTCACCATTGCGGTGATCTCAGGATCCTTGTTCTCTTTGACTTGTCCTAGGGAATGTGCGATGAGATTTTCAACATCAAGAACTTGTTCAAGGATGTCGTGACACTTTTCATCGGACTCAACAGCAACACCTATATCTTCCAAACCAGAGAGAGGGGATATGTGCTTCAACTGCTGTTCACGTTCCCGGTGATCGAGAGGCAATGGCACTTGGACAGGCATTGCAGGCACAACGGGTTGAACTGTCGGATACAGCGCACGGGCAACTGTGAGACACATGCCTTCGGGATAGAAAGCGGTCTTTGCGGTCTTGTTACCTGCTGCAAGCGAATGCTTATACCCTTTTTCGTGCGGACACTTGAATGCACCTAGTGCGGATGCGAGTGTGCTATTGCTGGTCATGACTTTCCATGGCTTTTTGATGGGATAGCCATTGCTGTCCTTCAGACCTAGGGCGCAACCGTGGAATGTCGCTGGGGTGAAGACATGTGCGTATTCCCTAAAGAATGCAGCGACATCATCCCTAGCCCAGCTGTCGCAATCCCTTGGCCACTCAAACGAAACACTACCCCCCTGATGGAGGACAGTCTCTGCGTGACGTCTGAATCTGGAGAACAACTCTCTCGACTCTCTAACCTTTTGCTTCAGTTTCTTTTTGAACTGGCTTCCTAACTTGGCCTTATTAAGGCGTTGCCATGCTGAACCTGATGTACAGGGAATTGCGGCCCAGAGATTGGGTTTAACACAACCTTCAATCTGCGACTGCAACTGGATTTCTCCTTCATCTGTGCTAAGGTCGATAAACTCTTTAGCCAGCCTAACATGAGGTATGCCAATACCTTCAAACACGCGACCCATGTTGGACTCTGGTGAACATGCGTATTCGAACATCACAGGCAACTTGTCAATACGTGCCTGTTTCTTGCGGGCACGATGATTTCCAACCTCAAAATGCTTGCGCTGCGGAGCTTCAACCTCTGCGCTGCATGGCATGCCAAAAATTGGCAATGTGTTCGGACGACCGTTCTTTGACGCTTCGGTGAGAGGTGTCGGCGGTACGGAGTCTAACATCACGGCTGCACCTGTGGTGATAACACAATCGGACTGAATGGGTTTTAACTTGAACACTGTGAACCCGGTCCATGCATCTCCAAGTGAGCGATTGGGTCGGCTACCAAACCAACCATCGTGGATGTTGTCTGCTTTGCCCCCCTGAAGCACGGCACGAGTGGTGCGAGCTGCAGTAAATCTTTCTGGGGAAACGGGGCAATCCTCGACCTCTTTTGGGGTAAAAAGATTCTGCCTTGGCATGATATGGTATCGAACCAAACAGTTGGCATTTTCTTTGAACACCCAAAAATCTTCACCTTGCGATGTAGCGGCTGTCGCTGGCGCGGTATCAAAAAATGAGCCACCGGGTCTTGAGAGAGCGGGCTCCCCAGCTTCGGCTGCATCAAACTCATGCGCAACGTCTTCTGCACTAACTGCGGGCTTAGGATCCTCTCCATGCTCGGATGCGTGGATTGCTCTAGCTAGCTCCTCATCCCCTTCAGTATGAACAATGGGAATGGGTTCCTTAGATTCAGTTTTGGCAGCGCTTTTTGCAGCTGCTTCAGCTCGATCTGCAGAAACAAGTTCGGAGAACCTCTTCTTGCATTCGGCACTGTGAATCTTGGAATGACCGGTGCATGCACGGCAACCTGGCGTTTCCTTGAACTTGATGATCCTCTCAACAGTTATGTACACGGATTTTGACTTGACAGCGGATGGAGTCGGTGGGGCACCAAAGGGCGCCTCTCGCAGGGGCATAGGTGGGGGATCAGACCCTTCTGTCTTGCCACCATGCAATGCTCTATCTGCTGCTGCTGCAATCGGAAAGCTTGGGGGTCCGTCTTCAACGAACAATTCCGGTTCGGGAACATCGTGAACGGAAATGGAACCATCTTTGCGGAAGGCTTCATAGTCCATGACCTTGACCACGTTACGGTACCGCAACCCCGGATCGACCCTCCAACCCAAAAAGAGCGCAGGCGCCATGTTCGGATCGAGAGTGAGCTTGCCAGGAGTCTTGGTTCTGTACCAAACCAATTGCCCGAAACAGCATCTCTTACCTTGGAACTTTTCCTTGGTGAGGGCTTCACATTGGGTTTTCCCTGGGCTGAATGGTGCAGGCCTGTCGAACGACATGGAGAGACATGCAAATGGGTAACTAAACGTATGCAACGAATAGGGC